CCCTCAATCCCTCCTCCGCCACCATCCAGCAGCGACGCCGACCACCGCCTCATCCCTCCCCCCCACCCTGCTTCCCCCTTTATCGTTCGGCTTCTGTCGGCGAACACGTACGACAAATATCTTTCCTGCTACATATTTTTATTCCTCACTTATATATAGCTATAGGACCTGTGTATCTCCGGCTGTTACTTTGCAGGGCTGATTTGCGAACCTTGGGTATGTCACTAACCACCCGCAAGGGTCTTCGGACCGAATCGAACGAAGGGACGCTGAGGTGGGTAATTCGTGAGTCGGTTTAATTACGAATTGGGTATCGATGAATGGTGCTTTGAAGGTGGTTGATAAAAAATAGAGTCGTGGATCCAGGTTAGGTTATAATTGTTGAAAGAAGTCACGTGGGCCCTAATTGAATTTTATTGAAGAGGGTATACGACAAAGAGAGTAATTAAAAGTTACAAGGGGGCCTTCGTTAGCGTCAACGAATTATCGTTCACGGCGAGCAATACGTATTTATTTCTATGGGGTATCGAAGATTTTGGGACTTGTCTGACAACGGGACACACGAGTCACAGATTGGAAAACGGTGTCCCGGCGTGGCATCAAAGAACGGAATTCTAATTTTTAAATCGTGCACCGACGTCGCCGCGCCGATCGTCGACCAAGGGAGCCGCGCGACGACGGAAATTTTCATCGGGCCAATTAAGGGATAAGAAACAGTCGGACGTTTAATTAACATTTTCTGTTTCGATTGGGACCCACGGTAGCGGCACCGGGTGCCCCTCGTACGTTTGTCCCATGGCGAACGACTCATTAGCGAATACCATCGGATCGGATTCTCAATTCTCCCGTGGACTCGTGGCGGTGCATTTGCGGACTTTTTAATTGGCCAGGATTAGTCGGAAATCGCAAGGCCCGATTCGTTCGCGTCGTACAGCAAAACTTACTGCCAGTGGGTTCGAAAGAAAAAAGGCCCAAAGAGTGGGAAGGATCCTGGGTTCGGTAGGTGACTCTGCGCTACGCTTGAATATAAGCAACGGTACGGGGAGCAAATGGGGGTCC